GCTTGTCCATTTAGGTTACAAAGTTCTTACTGAAGGACTCATACCCCTTTTCTAATTAACAATTACATGTCAAATTTACATGCGTTACGACAATCATTGCCGCGTCCTCATCGGGCTGGTCTTCATCAATGGTCTCACCATCATCTTCCTCTACTACGCCATTGACGATCTGTAACTTTACGAAGGCGCTAGAGCAACTGGCGGAGGAGGAGAGCTCTTCTACCACCGCCTCTTCCCCTTCAGTGTCGCCCACTTCTATACCTGGCAAGACCTGAGAATGACCCTCCTCTGTCGTTCGTAGGCTTTCGTCATCCGTTGGTTCTGGATAAAAAAGGGAATCAATAAGACATGTGTTGAAACTTTAATCTCTAAGACTTATGGTTTCATTTGAGGTTAAGACGATTTTACGTAGTGAAACATTTCCATTGTCATTGTGAAGACCAAAATGAAGGTGCTCCTATTCCTTCAAGGTTCTGGAAGATCGTCAGTCAGTTTGTGCGTAGGAGAAAGAAAACCAACCACCATGAAGAGCTGAATTCATGGAAGTCTCTATCAAGTATTCGTGTCTATCTGTTCCATCATTTCACCGAAATTGGGTACAGTTGAAAAGGTCAGTTAAGTTCAGAAAGTGGCATAAGTGACAGAAGATAAATCCCACCCTTAAATTTATTTAAAATGGTTCTATTTATTAAATCTTTTAATACAGTGGATTCACACTGCGTATTTAGGCGTAAAATTGTCGTTGGCTTCCAAAATGATAACATTTCCGCAACCCTCAAGCAACCTGAAGACACTCGAAGTGATACCAAGAGAAGAATTATGACACAGAAAGGGCGAGGCTGTCATAATAGTGAAGCCTGAAACCAAAAACAATTTTGGGCCTTTAAATAGGATTCTTAAGGCACACCTTTTTGCGTCCTATTCCCAAGCTGGAAATCAACGCGTCCAAAGGCGAACATATCAAAAAGTTAAATTTGGAGAAAAGGCATGCAGAGTACAAATAACAAGCCGTATGTGAATCGCTCAGTAATATCCGATCCCAAAACTGCAGGCCCAACTTGAATCTCTCTTCGATTGGCCATTTCCAGGCCTCGGAGAACAAATAACGCATCCCAAACAATGCGTGCGTAGACTCGGGATTCGGTAAAAGCTTGAAGTGCTTTCCACGCAAAATCCAAGCGCGTGAAAAGAGCGACGGTTTCAACCAAAATTACAGTTTCCTATAGTTATCTGAATTTCAAAATTAAAATTTTTGATAATCATAAACCGAATGAACTTCTGTTCGTTCAAGTGGTATGGCGAAATTTAGCAAGTGTAAATTCCCAGCCCATGAAAGATGGTCTCATTTCGCGAAAATATATGTCAGGCAAGCAATAAATAACATTTGGAACTCGAGTTTTACCTGAGTCACCAAAGCGATAGTGTGTTTGGATCAAAAAGCAAATGAAGCAAAAGTCCATTGAAATGTGGAACTCTAACTCCCCATACGTCAGCTGAAACTCGGAAAACTGATTCAACCTTTAGCATGACGTTTAAGAGGGAGGACCATAGCAGCAAAACCCGTGGATGAAAATCAGTAGGCGTAAAGGTGACCAATTTTGTAAGGTGAACGACCTTTGAGGATTGAACTTCGATGTTAGTGGACAAAGTAAGTTGTGCGAATTGCGCCTTTTCTTTCCTCTTAAATACAACTGTTAAGTTCACCTATTCTGGTGCATGTTTCAGTCTGCACTGCTAAGTGTGTAAACAGTCTTCCTTCGCCAACCTGATCTGACGACAATGGCAAGACTATTTTGCCATTTCAATGGACCAGTACATAAACAGGTTTTGATTAGCTGGAAATATAGGACTTGTTATGTGCACCCAATTTCATAAAAAAAAACAAATTTAATGCGAAAAAAACAGATTGTGATCACCAAACGCACTGCATGTAGGGTTTATTTTCATCGGGGACATAAATAATGCGCATTCTTTGACTCTATTTCTGGCAAGAAGACTGCATCCGCCCAATGGATTTACGATACTGTCGAGTTGGGATGTTTTGTGTTTATCTCACAAGTTACCAAAAAAGTGATTTTGTTGCAAGATTCCCCTGCATCTTCACGACAATTACCTTAAGGAGTATCGACGTCAAGTGTTGAAAGATTCGCATCACTTAATGATTTCAGTGCTTCAGTTCCAAGCTCTACCTCGCCAAGATTCACATTAATTACTTCATGTATCTGTCTTTCCCTTCAAAAAACAGCAAAAATCAAGTTTATGCTTGCCTCGAAACCTGTAACCTGTTGTCTGTTCCCTCAAGTAGCCTAATTGGAATCGCAAAAAAACATCAAACCCGTGTCAGTTTATAAGAAGGATAAAAAGCACTTTTCAACGGCTACATTAAGCACTGTTCATGAAAGTAGCCAAGAAATGCGATTTTATAAGCCATGTGCGACAGAACATAGTTTGATACACAAATTGCGCATGTTTGTATGCCATTTGTCTTGTGCAACTGCAGACCAAAATTTGAGGCATCTTAGGTAGTTCCTTAGGAAACGACTGCCCACATAAACAACACCTTTTACTACCCGAGAATTTAAACCATTAACACATGCACAAAGCGTGCTAGAATAAAAGGCTTCCTTAGGGATAAATTGCCTCAATATTTTTTGTATTTCAACTCGAGATGGAGAGAAAACGATCCTCTATAGCCATGGCGAATGATGTTGCGTCAGTGAGTACTAGCACTTGGAAAAGATGTACATCCACGAGTGCGCTCAGTCTTCTGGAAATGTGGTTTTCAGTAGGAGTTGCGTTGGGTTTACAGTCTTCTCGAGTGAATGAAGGATAAGCTTCGAGTAGGGTGAATTGGGAACCAGGACGTTAAAACTCCTCAGTGAATCAGTAGCAATCCCGATTTAACAGCACCTTTGTAGGTTTCGAGTGGTTCAGCAGCTATTGAAGCAACGGGTATTTACAAAGTGGGTACCAACAGAATGCATTGCATTAACCATGCAATGCTAAAAATGCCAATTTGTGACAAGACAGTTCTCAACAAGTCCACCGATTATACATGCTCGGTTTTCATAGGAGTGCCGCTAAAACAATGGAAGCCCACGTTTGGAATTTGGCAAATATGTCTTAACGACTAAGCATAATTGGAATCATAGAGGTGGAGCTGGTTTAGAGGGCTCAAAAGCCTCTCCACCTGCTCTACTAAGTGCAAAGACCTACCAGAATCCGCCAACGCAACATCCACCTTCTCGCCCGTGAAGGGATCCGTCAGCAGTCCTCCAAGTCCCGTAAAGGAGGCAGGAACACGTTTGCTGGTGCCATGGAGACCGGTTAGTATGGAGGGCACATTCTCATAGGGTTGGATCTAATGGCACATTGACGGCGGATACGAAATAAAGTGAAGCAAGTAGTACCTCGGACGGTTCATCTTTAACATTGAATGCAGTGATTTGAGCCATAAAGACATAGAACAACAATGGCCAAGCTTGGTTAACATCGCCTTAAAGAGGCCAGGTGAATTTTCTACCGACTCAGGTCTTTTTAGCTGTGGCCTTCCGGTATCAGCTAAGAGGAGATAACATGGGTGCTTGTAATGTAAGCTCGTTAAGCTAATTTATACTGCAGGTTTTCCTAAATGACTAGCCAAGTTTTGTGGATCTTTAATGGGAATGATATCGCATCAGTCAGTGCTTTACCTGCTTAGGAGAAATTTGGGATCCCGAAAGGAGTAATTAGAGTGATGGTCATTATTAGCAGATGAATGGAAGACTGCCTAAACAAAATGATCCCATAAAATATCATTTTCGGAGAGGTCGAAATGGCTTTCACTACGCTATTTCGCGTAGGTGGGCACAAATTTGCCTTATCAATACCAGGTGAAGGAAAGCCCGATTACCCAATACTTTCGGTTTTAATTCTATAATGTTTTGTCAAAAGACTGACCACTGATAAAAGGAAGATCAGGCTCGGCAAGTCGTAATCTGAGCAACACCTGCAGTCTCAAAATAGACACTTTATTGTCCACCCTTTGAAAGGGAGATGGAGATGTAGCGAATGGGTATCAGTACACCAAATATGAATAGAAATTAAGGTGTTCGAAACTCCACCTGTGGCAATGAAAGTCGCAATGGCTGGTACTAGGAGCGTCACGTCAACTCTCGCCAAACCAGAACCCAAATTTGGCCCCTTACACCCTGTCCAACTTGGCGCTTTGGAAAAAAGTGCGTACGTGTGTACGTGTGCATGACATAAAATGCAGTTAGTGGATGTGACTAGGTCATATGCAACGCAACAGTTTGCTAACAAAAAATCGGTTTCACAAGCGGAAAGACCGGCTTTGGTTTGACGTTGTTCACTGTACCCCAGTTTCGAGTT